CATTCAGAGATGGTCACACGATGCCGGAGCACCGATTCGAAACCGTCTCGCTGACGCCCGCTTCTCAGGGACGTCTGAAAGTTTCACCTGAGAGTTCGGGCTCGGGTGGATGTCCGAACACAAATGTCCTCCTCTCCACGAATGTCTATTCCGTGCTGAACACCGAAAAAGCTATTGGATTGATCCAAGGGATGAGTTCCTTGACACGCTCGCCCCGATTCCCCCGCCCCACGAGACGATCGTCCAACGGTGCACGACGTTGGGAAACACTTAACTGAGGCCGGGCCGCACCCTCCGGCTCGGTGTTTAATGACCAGGAATTAATCGTCGAGGAAATCTGCAAGGTTATTTCCCTCGTCAATGGATTCTGACCATACCGAGCGACGTAGGTGGGAACACGACTCCGACAGCTGACCTCAGAGGGTAATGAAGACGACATGTGATCGATTAATCTCTTCTAATGGGCTTCACAACATCTTCCTCGTCAGCGCGACCGTGACGACGCCGGATGCGGAGGTATTATGCCGCCGACGAGATCAACACCGACCTCAAAGTCTAGCCCTCCTCATTTGAGGTTTTCGCGAGTCTTGTCTCATACGAGGCCATAGCGAGCGCTCCACCCATCTTTGGGAGGAAATCATAATTATTGTCTCTCAATGTCTCCCGCGTGAAAACCAGAGGTGAAGGTGCGCGACGAGAATCCTCGTGACCTTCTCTCCGGCCAGAGTGATTGTGAACCTCCCGAATGCAAGATTATCGAACTTTCGGAATCGTCGATTGCCGAGCCTTCCTTCGTTGACGCGTTCACTTCTTGCGCTCCACGGATAGACCGATGATGCGAGGATAGAACTGCTCTTACGTTAGGTACCTATCTTCTGCCTGTCGGAGCGAGCTCCGGCGGCAGACTCGCTTACCCGGCGTCAGTTGCATTGCCCAAAAACTCGCATTCACCCGTACGTTTGTTCCATGTTTCTTTGTTCTTTTCGGTGTGTTCATTTATTTATTTGTTTATCCGTTCTTATTGCGAGCGTGCGATTCCGTCTCCCAATGCGGTCGTTAGAACGGCTCTAAATGAAGCTTCGGTGCTCACGTGAGGAAGCGAGAAAAATAAGCTGCGAATACAAAAACTCCGGTGCGAATTTTCAAAACAGAACTGTTCTCTCCAGGGCGAGATTACCTTGCGAGTTTTTCCGCTCATTGAGCCGCGCTAATTCTCGTATTGGTTACGACCCTCCTCAGGTCATCCTTTGTCGCTTGCACCGGGGTTCGCTTAACGAAATGTTCAACTGAGAGGCTGATTCGAAACAAGACGACGTCGAGACTCGAGACATCGTGGTGGGATATTGAGGGACAATGGACTCGGTATTCCTTCCACGGAAACGACGCGAACCCGTGTCGAAATTTCGGCTGCCTCTCGAGGTTTCTCCCAAAAACTATTGTGACGCTCTTTCGCGCAAAAACCTTCAGAGTCTCAAGGATATTGCACTACATCATTGCCGAGTTCTATTGGGAGTCGACGGAAGTTCGAGCAGCAAAAGGGACGACTCGGCTAAGCCAGGTCCCAAGTTCCGCTGTCTTGCTCCGAGATTCGAACTCTCTCCGAAAGAGTAAATCAGAGTTCCCCGAACGAATCAGCCCGATGAGTCCTCAACACCTCATGGATTGCTTTATCAGTGGCGGCTCTTAGCCGGCGAGCATCGGACCGAGGCCCGGTCATCCCGGCTGGTTATCTACGAGTCCATCTAGACTTATCTCTGATTAGAGCGACTACTACGTGACGTGAGCTGCGGGATTGCCGCCTGCTCCGCCGGCCGCTGCTAGACATGACGTGTCCGTCGAGGATCGAGACCATCAACACCGAATAGAAGTCAGCCCCCTACTTCGGAGCGACTTTGAAGAAAGCTCAGGATTCGACCTCGCGGACATTCGTCTTACGCTCTCGGGTCGGAGCACTCAGATGATCACGTCAGAGATTTTCAGGTCCCGCGATGGAAAGGTATAAAAGCGAAAAAATCTCGGATCGGATACTAATTTGCAAATGGAACGTCATCGTTAAAACAGGAACGGAACCGGCGCCGCTGCAGAGGAGTCTCATAAACGTATTATCAGTTCTTATCTTGAAGCCATCAAAAATCCAGGAGCGCCGACAGGACTTGGTTCCTGGAATTCACCTGACAGCCCTATTCAGACGTATGTCCCTCCAGGTGACTCCAGGAGATTGGATCATGAGCAACTCTATTTTATGAATCGAGTGCGGCGTTTCGCTCCCTCCATGATCGATGCCTGAGTTTTCCCCCGGGCAAGGACGAAGGGAGATATCTTTGAGGATGTCTAGCGATCCCGACAGGAATATTGAAAACCTCCGCAGTTTCTTTCGCCTCCTCGGGTGCTTCTTAATAACATCTTTACTTCTCCTTGAGAGCTGTGCAATTTCGTCTCGAGAGCTGTGGCTGCAACATTATTTCGAAGACACGCACGTATTCCTGTTGCCTTGATTCCTGAAAGGGCTGCGAACCTCTTCCGAACAGCTGTTGCGCCTATGGATTCCGCCTCTTCCCTTCAGTCTTTCGGCGTATGGCTGAAACTTTGGGCTCAGAGACTGCAGCTCCGGAGGTGAGTCGCCCGAGAAAATATAGCCATTTCAAAAACCAGCTCATCTCACCGCATGGGTTGAAGGTTCAATCGACCATCGTCCGGGCTCGCCGAAGGAAAAGAGGATGAGGCAAAATGCAAAGCTCTGGCGGGTGAATTTTTCTCGTCCCATTCTGACATCAGACTCGTTGGTCTGAACTCTCACTTATGTTCTATCCTTTCTGAGTTTCCAGATTCAGGATCTCCGCTGTTGATCATCCTAATGCTCAGTTCCCTCGATGAATTTTTTTTCGGCCGTTTCCCGGTAGGTCTCGAACCTGCCACATTCCCGGGCTCACTTCCTCGCGGGGTTCTCAGCACGCGGAATGCGCGTACCGATCCGTTTGATTTCGAGCTCGCTCTCGGAATCGAAAGACGCTGCGAATAGATTCCGTTGCTCGATGGTGGTAGCGGAATCTCACCGGAAACGATAAGAGGGGGCATACTCACAATGCGGAAAAGAACAGGATGTACGTAATTTCAGAAAACCACGGCGAACAGCCTCGTTCCTTCCAGGATAAACTTTATGAGCGAGATATGAGAGACGAGAAGCTGTTCGGGTAGCACGCTCCCCTCCAATGAAACGTTTTTACAGTCAGAACTTTAAGGTCGGTGGATGCCGTAGTGGCCTTTCGCTGGTCCCTCGGATGGACCTGGTCGGCCAACTACCGTGACCCGACCCAGCGGTGCTGCAAGCCATTCGGTGGCTGGAAGGTGCAGAATCTTTGTTCGACGTCAAGGAAAGGCCTCAATCGAGGGATTGATTCATGTTCAGTGAATTGCTCTTCCTCGATTCACTCGGAGTACTTCTTCGGCTTCCAACGGATGAGGGTTTCGGCTCGAGCAAAATACACGAGTCACCAGCAAAGTCTCGGTCGGGGAGTTCCTGAAGGGGTCTGGGGGCGCAAGCGATGAAAATAAAACGAAAACGAGTAGGTGAGAGTGTATGTATGTAAGCCTGCGAGCGGTCGCCTATGTGTATTGGAATAAATTTCCATTGAAAATTTGCCGCCTCGACGACATGCAGACGATGTTCACTCCTTTGATGGATGAACGACGGAAGAAGAGAAGGGGGAAAAGAGCGGTCTGGGAGTAGAGACGGGAGAATTCCTACTCGTGCAAGCATTGCTGTTTTCATTAAAATTCAACAAGCTCGCCCAGGATCTGCTTGTGAGAAATTCCGTCGGCTCCAGAGCCTATTCGCTCAAAAGGCAAAGCTCAGTTAGAACACTGTCGAGCTCGTCGGACTCCATCGGCAAAAAAATCTCCAACTGAATTCAAGGAGGGCCTCGACAGCCCACAGACCAATGGCTCGTAGGCCTGGATTTGCCCTGTTCGGACTCGGGTCTTCTAATCGCCTTTGGCAAGCTTGGGGAAAGCAGCTGAAGCCGGCAAGTGATGACGATACAGCCCGGGGACAGCCCCGTCGAATCTGTTTACGGTGAGCTCTCTCAGCCCCTCAGCTCGGGACTCCCGTGCCGTGGCACGGCATGGCCACTTAAGGATGACTGGCCAAAAGCTAGCCAGTCAGGATGGAGAAGGAATACAACATGCTCGTACGAGCGTCCGCATCCTCGTTCGCAGGCAGAACGCCCGTCTAGCTCCTATGAATTATGAATGATTCGACATCCGCGACGACGAGGATTACTGACTGATGCCGGCCAACAGCACCAGCACCAGCTGCTACTGCGAGTAGTGCTCCTTCCTTAGTCGCCAGTAGGAGCCGTCCCGAGCTGGAACCTAGGCCCCATATGGCCAGCCCGAAGGCAGGCGTGGGCGCAGTGGTCAGTGGCTCGGGGGATTCCTCGAGCTTTCGAAACGGAGAACTCGACGGTATGATTCGACGTTTCCCAGGGAATCCCGCCTCGATCAAGCTTCCGATGATGGCCTGGTGAGCACCAGAGTTCCGCGTATTCCCAGCCTCTAGTCGGAGGATTGGGGCGATGTCTTGAGGTCAAGTGGAATTCCCTCTCGAGGTAGCCGCTAGATAATCTTCATAGTTCCTCAGGCTAAAACGGTTTCGAATCCCGAGCCCGGGTCTCGACTTACCTAGTATGTACCCCGGCTTCGCCACGCTCGCTTTCGGAAACGCAGTGTGTTCGCAGATGCAGTCCGAAGCCGTTGACCAGACGAGCTGGAACGGGACTCTACTAGCAAGGCCAGTCTAAAACCGCGCAGACTTCCGTGGAGCAGGCAACGACCGCAATGTTAGCACAAGGAGAGTGAGTGAATGGATGAATGGATAGATCAATGGCTGTGTCCATCGGCCCGTTTCACTTAATTACCTTCATTCTCTTCCTCCTTTTCCTCCAAGACAGTCGGCTAGTCGGCCAAAACGAAGGAACAAACGAGCGAAGCGGCCAACTCACCCAGGAGGAGCCAGTCAGTTAGCCAAACGAACACATACAACTGGGCGTCTTGCCATACATCTACACCCCACCACGGTCGCGGTACCGCGGCCATGACCACCGCCTAGTCCGCCAACAGCACCTCCTTCTCAAGAGCCGGCAGAGAAAACTACGACTAGACAAGAAGAAGCTGCGGCGGCACATAACTCAGTCCAACATCCTCGCGCGATAATGCTAAGTACCTGCTGGGATTTAAGGAGAAGATTCGCTCTTATGAGCAAGTTTCTCCCGGTCGCTTCAGTGACAACTGAAGCAAATAGCTCTCTCTCCAACTGAGAGCTCACCGTTTTTCTCTCCTGTGTAGGGGTGTCTCCCTGACGATGGGGGAGTAGAGTTCCGACATAGGCGAGGGGATAATCATCATCATCAAATTGAGGAGTCGTACGGAGTGGATAGAAACCGATCTCGCAATGGACGTGCGAGTTTTCACAAATTTCGCAGACTCCGTCGCTTATCGGGAGGGCAGATTGCAGTGAAACAAAAATAGATTGATACTGGGCACGCTCAACGCTCCGGAGCACCTCGCAACCAATAACATCGGTCTACATTGTACTCTGAGAGGTGAGATGCACTACAAAATCGCCGCCAATAAAAAGCTTGCTACGAGAGATACGCTTTTTATAGCGATGTTCGCTGGAAACTGTTCGACAAGCCGCTCCCAAAACCTCCCCACTCGCACGGACCTCCGGTGGGCCGTTGACGTCGTCCGAAAATATAATTTCCCCCCTTATTCTTCGTATTTCTTCGCATTCGTTATCAGAGCATCGACAGAAAAAAAACCTGTCCCGGTTTCTTCCCCAGCCTTCACCAGATACGCGAGCGGTATTTCCGTCGAGCTAGGAAGGCTTCAGGACCGAGTTGAATTAGAGCATGAGAATTCTCAGACTGATCCTACGAAAAATCGGTCGTCCAGCCTTCAAGCGACGGAGTTCGAAGACTGTCGTCTGTGTTTGTCGTCGGCTCGAGTGTGCCAAATCTAACCGGATCTCGAGCTGGTTTCGTTCTCATGCAGCTCTCTGCTATTAGTCTCTGTTGGGACTCCGCCGACCCTTCGTTTGTCCGTCTGTCCATCCGTCGACTTAGCTCGCTTGCTGGCTCGTGTGCCGACTAGTCCTTCGTCGGTTGCAGCGGCAGGCCAACCATTCGTTGGTCGGGTCCCTCAGCCTCTCTACGTGTCTCGACTCGCAATGCGTCCAATTGATATATCGAAAGAATATACAATACATTACGCGAGCGGGGGAGGGAGAGAAAAGAAGCGTTGGGGGATTGGTATGTCATCATAATTGTATCACTACTCCCTCCGTCAAGCGGGGTCAACATGTGTCGCCACAAGACTGTTGTAGCCAGCCGGTCAGAAGCCCCGCAAGTCTGTGCATCGGCAGGCAGACGGACTTCGCGAGTTTTCTTCGACTCTCCCACACGCGACTCCTCGGCCGCGACGGAATCCCGCGTCCCGAAAAGCTGGGTGGGGTCCGCTCCGGGTCGGAGGACCATTGGGGGGTCCCATGCATTACCCTTCGGAACTAGGCATATTTTTCCTGCGAAATTCCGCGAATGAGTTCTTCCAAGAGGAATTACGCCGAGTTGAGACGTTCCGTCTCCTACTGAGTTGAGACACAGCACGAGATTTGAGTAAGGATACCACGGGAGAGCGTCAGGGAGAACTCTTGGGAGACAAGGAGGAGGTCGACGACGACCAAGATATAAAAAATTGCTCCATCCCGCGTCTCTAGTTTCTTCAGTTTGGCCGCCCGTTCCTTAGGTCGCCCCTTGTCCGTCAGTTCCTCGAGTATTAAGCAGCCAGTCTATGTACATGGCGTACTTCAGACTTGATGAGAAACGCAAACTTGCGGTGGTTGAGACAGCGACAAGCAACCGCGCGGCCTCGCGCGAACCCGCCTGGCTCCGTGTTCTCCACAGTCTCCTGGTGATCTCTTGCTCTCTCATAGGATATTGCGAGGAACTGTGGAAGTCATCTAGGATGAAAGTTCGCAGAAGTTCCCCGAGAAACACTGTCCTATTGCGAAGGAAGAATATTCTGCATCCGTCAGGGAGAAGGGAACTCCGGGTTCGCGGTCTATGATCAATGTACCCGATGAATTCAGCTCCAGCGGAATGCACATGATGAGTTTCCCCCTCCCCCCCCGGCAGCGCCTCTTTCGGTGATCAAGTGATTAGTAATTGCCTCCCTGGAAATTACTGCGTTAGCTCGACGAGAAGAATCCGTCTCTCTTTTTCTGTGCGCGATCTCGTGGGTTACGGTCGAGGCGGTTTCCCTCGTGTACGACGTCGGGATTCTCGGGAGTTGCCGTTGGATCAAAGAGCCGGGTGAAAGCTTTTGGAGGGAGCTTTGACTGTGGAAACGGACGGGGGTGGTATAATGTATCGAAAGGATTCGCTGGCGTCGTCTCTTCTGATCTAATCCCGCAAGCTTATCGCAAGCTAAGAAGACAGCGAGGAGAGGCGAGAGAGGCGTTCGGCCATCATCGGCCCGAACTTGCCCCATACAAGGAGCAAGCGAAAATTGTTAACGAGAAGAAATCACACAATCAATCCCTATCTGATGCCGTCTGATGATGCGGAGATTTCCCCTCTGGGCGGAAGACGCGGCTGTGGCCACAGACACCACGGAAAACCGGGATGGCTCGGGCCGAGGCGAAAAGCTACGAGTTCGGCTTCGCTACTCCAACCGATGAGAACATTGGACCGACGGGGCGGCCGTTCGCTTGCTTGCTCGCTCGCTCAATCGGTGACAGTAGTACACTCCCCGCGTGTCAAAATTTCGAATTCCTCCTTTCCACTTGTTCATACTCGGTCTTGCGATCGCAGGAGGAGGAGAACGGCGCTCCCGCAGCTCGCCACTCTGGCCGATGCCGCGGGAGTATCACTAAATGTTTACAGCGTCACCCTATTTCGTCCCTTCGGAGGCACTCAGCGTAAAGAGCCGACAGCTCCCGGTTCTTGTCTTGCTGAGAGGGCTCCTTTAAATTCGACGGCGGACGAACATGCATCGTTCGAGCCGGATACGAATGTTGCGACGACAATCGCGTGTCGATGTTCTGTAGCTAGGTATCGTTTCATTCGTTCACCTTCATTCATTCATTCATTCGTTCTTTCCCTACTCTGCTCCCGAACTGACTGAAACTCCTCCCAACGAAAAACGTCAGCAGCACTAGACCTCTGAAACGACTCGGTCGCAGACAGGGAAACGAAAATCTCTCAAAAGCCTCAAGGCCCCACGCGTCATCGACAATTGTTGAACAAATGTAAGGGGACGGAATGCGTTGGCAGGGAGACAGTGTGACACTCTCGTCGTCGGAGCGAGACCCGACCCAGCCACTCACCTCCGGCGCGCGGACCCACCCGAAAACGTTTCCGTGCGTTCCCCAAATTCAAGAGCGTTAAAGTCTCCCGCGCCTGTCTCCCCGATCTGCTCGCCTTCTTTGTCGATGATACGCCTGGCTTTTTCTCCCGCCTCGTCCCCGCTCCCGTTTCTGAGCGAACGAGCGATGGAGGGAGAAAGACGAGTTTACGACAATCTCCGTCCCGAGAACTTCTATTAGGCGACCGCGACAACGTGTTCCTTCTGTCGAATCTCTGCGGAGCATTGTCCGTCGGCTATCCGAGTTCGGTCATCCCTCAATCATCCGCGTCCGACTCGCCCTCTCAGTTTCGCGCTTCACCACCCTCACGGTACAAAACGACGAAGGAAACCTCCAAAAACTAGCCTCTGATAAATGACCGAGCCGAGATTGGCATTTAGTTCTGTGCCTGATGCACGAGTGACTTCTTTTGGTCAGGCGTTCCTTGAGAGAGATGAAAGAAATACTCGGCTCCTCCGGAACCAGCTCGAGGAACTCATCAGGACTGGAGCGAAACGATTGGAGATCGAAAATCGAAAGTTCATCGACGAGCATGATGGGGTTGACGGCAACGACGACTCGAAAACCCAACCGCGAATTCTCCGAGCACGTGAACGAACGCGCCCCAGCATCCGCTCGGTCGGGAGTCCGGACGAGCTGAAGGCAAAAACCACAAAAGGTCTTCGAGGAATACTGTGGAGAAAAATGCGCAGAACCGCTCTGAGAGGCGCGGCTTCGAAGGATTAGAAGTTCATCCCTGGAAAGACGGCCGCGAATGGGGAAATGACCAAAGAGGAAAAGAGAAGATCCCCAGCTCATGAATCACCATTACCCGACCGTCAAACAGAGCCGACAGATGAAACGACTTACGGACAGACAGCCACCACCACCACCACCGCCGCTGCTGCTGCTGCCACAGAAGCAACCGCAGAAATGACGGATGCGTGGATCAGATCGCTTTGCGAAGGAGGGCGCCAAATGTCAAATTCTGCAACACTTGCCGACTTGAGAACAAATGGTTCCGCAACAATCTTCGCCAAGCCATCATCAGAAAAGCCATGCCCCGGTACGTTTTATTCTCCTTTGCTCTTTTTTCTCGCTCCAGCTCTCCTCAACATCATCCCGGCGAAATCTGTTGTTCGGAGCTTCTCCTCCACGGAAGGCAAGAGAGATCATTCGCTGCTTCCGGTTTCCCTCGAAACTCCGAGCCGAGATGCTTGTGATCCTTCACGCGACTTAGAGGTGAACGACCTAGCGAATGAAATGCAAGGAATATCCGCCAGGTCGAGTTGGAGTATGAGCCCCTCCTCTTGCATGGGGCGAGTCGAGGGAAATCGAGGAGGACTAGGCCATTTCGCTATCTGTCTGGATCTTATTACCCGAGGCGGCTCCAGAGGCGCCGGTAATTCAATGAGCAACGAGCATCGGGCCAACAGATACAAAATGACTTGAGCGGAGTGGCTCTCAGAGTGATCTGTGTTGCTCTGGAATCTGCTGCGAATGGCAAAAAAAAAGATTGCGCAGCTTCCCGGAATTCGGGGAGCTCGCCTTATACACGCCTAGATTCCGATCAGCAGGGCATAAACTCTCGTGGCCGTCATCGTATTCAGCTCTCCCGTTGCGAAACCAAAAATCTGAGGAAGTTGCGATTCGGGAGTCCTTCTCACGGCGCCGTCCGGGCCCTCTGGTTCTCCTCGACGATGCTCGAATGGCCTCGAGACATTTATGGCAGCTTGAGACCGAGGAGAAGAAAGATTCAGAATATCCTTCCTTTTCTCCTCCGCCACCGCAGCGTCGTCGTTATTGACAGTCGCAGCGGCTGCGCGGCACGAGGTTCAAGATGAAGCAGATGTAATGTTATGCGAACGGGCGAATGTAGTTCACTCTTATAGCCGGCTGACTGGCACTGAGCTGTTCTTCTCCAACGTGAGTCATCGCCTTTTACGATCCAGAACCGAGCTGAGACCCCAGTTGAGCGGGTGGTGTCAGTGGTGGTGCGCTCGGAGCTCAGTGCAAGCAGCTTGCTCGACCGATCGCGCGCTCCGTGGACCAACTGGCCGGTCGGCCGGCTTGCACTGAGCTCCGAACTCTGTCGTAAATAAGGCTAAATGCCCACACGGGGTTGAATGTAGGCTTCTATATATGGCCGGCGATAAGAACAAACAGTTCGCTTTCGAATCGACAGCCGCAGCGCTGTCAAGAACACTACGCAATGATCTTGCGCGATCGGTCACAGTCACTCCTCGGGCTCACTCTAGATAGATATTCCATCCGTGAGGGGGTTTAGACTCGCGTCCGATACGTGTCGACGCTCGCGAGCCGACTCGGCCGCAGTGGAATGTTTCTCCGTTCCTTATGGTCGACGAAATAGTCGTGCTTCACGTCGACGAGCCGCATGCGCAAAATTAACGCTGCGATAGATAATTTCGCGAGCAACTCGACGGCGTCATCGCAATACTGTTCGATGATGCCGCGTGATCCTCAACGCCTCGAAGCGCGATGCTATCTGTGCCCGCGCAGGGGCTCCGACTTTTTCAATAATAATGGCATTTTCTCTCTCTCTCGCGCTCGTTTTTTCAGATGGCCATAAATCTCCTATATGCAAGCAGCCAAAGATGTTTGCATGGCTGCTGGCTCGTATGCGCCCGCCGGCCGGCCGGCCGGCCAGCCTGCCTGCCTGCGTGCTTGCCTGCCCCGGGTATGTGTGTGTGTATATGACCGGCGTGCAAGAAATAACATAATATATGTCTCACCGGGGCCAGCAGGCCATGAGGCTATAGATCAGCTTGTTACGGCCGGTATTAGATTCGAACGGAGGTGGCCGCGCTAAATGAACAAAGGCCCAGTCGCCGGCCGTCTACTCGATGTTTACCTCCATTGAGTCTGACCGGTCGCTCACTCGGCTGAGCGGTGACTAGTCGACGGTTTAGCTTGTAGTAGGTCGTTTGCCCGGCTGTAAGATGAACTGACCGCTAAACTAATGGGCGCGAGTCACAATCTGCAACACCGTGGAGCAGGCAAACGAGTGAATTTACAGATTGAGTCCACTACGGTCCCCCACCAGTAGCGAGTGTTTCGTCGAGGCTTGCCGCTGGCAGTGTCCTACTTCGAACGGACAGATTCGTGGGTGGAAAATCTGAAGGTTTTCGTGGCGAGGGATGATGGATCTCACGATCAGAGAGATCGTTCGTATCCGTTCGAATAAAGAGCGTCTTCCGTGATCCCGAATCGATTTTGTCAATCAACCGAAGCTGTGGAGGAAGGACGAGAATGTCGTTTGCCATGATCGTCAGGCTTCGAGAGGCCACCTTGTCAGATCATCGGAAATCCGAGATATTCTACTTCCTGGTGGTAAATGAACGTTCGACGTCTGCTCCATTGTACGTCATGCTTCTTCTCCCCGCTCTCTCTCCTCCAGCGGCAGGAAGGAGAACGAAAGCAATCGGATGGAAAAATACTTTACGCAGCTGTGTCATTGTACTTGCAAAATCAAATTTTCACGATGTGTCTCAACTTGGATCTTCTCGGAATGCTCGCCGAACGTTATCGGGGATGACGTCAATCCTCATTCTCCGAATACGGGATACGGCTCATTACAATATACAGAGGGTGAAGTGATTTCGAAGCCGACATAAACTCGATCAAGGGATTTCTCAACGATCACGTCTCGGCATGAATTTATTTCTCAGCGAGGAAGAGATTCCACAAAAACATACGGTCTCGAATCCGGCTCTCACACATCATTCGTCCGCCATCCTTACAGGAACATTTGAGCAGGAATTTCGAACATCCTAGAATCACGCACCAGGAACGTTTCCGCGGTGAACATTCGCCTAATCAGCTTTCCCGGCCTTAATTCTCGGATTCTTCGGTCCATTCGAGAGACAGCCACAAATAAACAGGAGTACGCATGCGAAGACTACCGATCCAACGCAGAACGTCAGGCTCAGAGGACCGTCGGCGAACTTCTTCAACAATGCCTGTAAATTTTGGCGCAGACCGTCCACGTCCATGTTCTCAACGTATCCTGGACCAGTTCCTAATCGAAAACAAGGAAGAAAGAAATCACTTGAAACAAATGTAATTCAGGGATAATAGTTCCATTGGAAATTATTGGACTGACTTCAGCTCTGCTGGTCGGTAGCGACGCGGGTGATCGACTTAACGGAAGTTCGGAGTGAATCTAACTCCAGATCGGAAATGCTCCGATGAGCACGCCAGCGGAAAATCCGCGGGAAGATGTTCACTCGATGAAGGTGACGGGATTCACGATATTTGAGGAGAGGTTTGAGTCTTTCGAGACAGCACGAGACCCACGAGGAAATTCTCCACAATGGGACCGAAGCGCATTTAAGGTGGGGGAAAATCATGGCGGGAGCAAGTATTCGAATATGGCGGAATATCTTCGACTCGATCTGAGATTCCGGTGAAGCTGAAGCTCTGAAGATTCTATGTCTGCCACAGGCGAAATGTCCGGAGAATGGATCCTAGAGAACGACGATTCTGGCGATTCAGTCATCCGAGAGTGCAAGTTCTCCAGAGGCTTACACCGAGATCTCTCCATTTAGGCAAAACTTCCCAGTGAGTTCAATTGTTGCATCGATCTCGGTTCCAGATTCAGTTTCGGCTGAATTCGCAGCTTCCTCGACCTCTGAATCGGAGCCCGACCGAGGACCAAATATTTCCGAACATTTCAGAGTTTCTCTCGATATTCGAAATGCCCGATCGCCTGCGGCTCGCGCCACTTTTCGATTAAACCAGAGGTATTCAAACCGTGCGCCACGCCGTTACTAACTGCGCCTTCGCGGTTCATCTTTGTTAAATCACGCTTAGGTCTCGGGAGAATACTAATTAGGCTCGCGGAAATCCAACCGAATTCAGCCGGACCTTGAGCGGAAGCCCGTCGGATCTTTATCGGACCTCTATCAGACATAATTCACTTCGCTACGGAACCTCCGCTTTACATTCACCGAGCGTGACTCGGACCATCGTTTCGTACCCACTGGGTCACTTTGAGCCGCGGCTTACTGCGGACGTGAAAGTTTGAATACCTCTCGAATAATCAGCCCCCATCTGGAAGCCAAGTAGACTGCGCCTCTTCGAATGTCCCACATCGCACGGAAGCTCTCAGAAACAGATTTCCGCATGAATCTCAACTCAAGGGAGCGGAATCCGTCGATAAACTGCACGACATTACTTTTCTATAAAAATATCGATTCGGCCGCGTCGAGAGCCGGCGCGAAATTCCGACAGCGAACTTTCGAAGTGACCGCAAGAGCAGAAGTTGTCCTCACGTCAAGGAAGCAGAAACTAGACTTCCTGCAAGTTCAACGGCGATAAACGAAAACGATGGAGCACTCAAAAACATACCGTGGCAAGTTGAACGGATAGTACCACCGAAGCGATGAAATTCGCAAACAAAAACCCGCTCGACGTTCTTCTGCGTGAGGCACCGGTCGAAGATTCTTCCACGTACCCGAGCGACAGACAACGACTGCTCGCTCATCCGTCCGTCTCTTGGCTCGTAAGTCCCTTACCCAGACGCAAGATCGTCAGACAAACCAGAAAAAAAATCAACCACTCCTCTCCGCTGACTGCGGCCGCGGAGACAACCATCACGGCAGCAGCGGCGGAACTTTCTGCACCGAAAAGACGCTCTGAAACACTTGTACTTCGGCTGAGACGGGCACAAGTATTTCTCCACGGTCGAGTCCGTTCCGCTGTGCTGTCAGCTGCGTCGCGATCGAATAATTTTTCTTGACTTGACGCCAACCGATTCCGAATTTCGAGGCGACGGCGGACAGGTGGTTCGCGATAAGCTTCGAACGAAGAGGCATCGAGAAAGCACACCGCGATTGGAACTCCCGAACACTCAACAATCCACTTTATTGCGATGCCCTCTCTCCCGCGTCCTCAACCATTCCTCAATCAGACGGAGCTTTCCTCGTACATTTAGAACAGATTCGCTCGTCGTATCGGTGACTCCGAACACCTCTGGTAAAAGCACTTTCCCAACTGAGCATTCTCACTTGCATCACTCCAGCGTCGCCATCCGGAGAACGACGTTTTCGTTTATGTACAAATCACTTGGTCAGATAAATGAACGGATCTAGGTAATTATTGAGATTTCTCCTTCTTCTTCGGGGAACCCCTGATCAGCGCGAGCAGGGCGCAGAAGGCCATAAGTAATCCGGACAGACCTATCAAGACCACAGTTTTGTGTTTCTTGAGATCAGCCAGGAACTGCTTGGCTAGCGGTTCGATGTTCTCGCGTACGAGTCGGACGCTCGTGTCGAGCACGTAGTCGAACAACGAGCTCTCCAGCGGTATTTTCTCGGCTTTAACATGCTTGTAGTACTGCGCCACGAAGTCCACAAGAGCTTTGGCGTCCCACTTTGAACCTAGAATCAATATTTAGTTTAGGAAGCGCTTCTTGGATCCGTCGATGAATGCTCCTCAGTCTGGGATTTTGAAGACACGACGGATGTTTCGAGATTTGGGATCATTGTCCGAAAATCATGGTCGAGAAGTTCACGGGAAAAATTTACGGAGAAGAAAGCACGAAATTTCCGTTCGAATCTCAATCATGGTCGGACAAAGGGCGACTCGTTCATTCTCAACGAGTTCATTCTCGGGCACTGCATCCAATGCCGAAGAATATGAGGTTTCAGAATTGGGGGTGTTTCTCCTCGTGAGCGAGCGTTTCCGCTTAGACAGGGTGGCACGCTTTTTTCCACACGTAATCAACACGCCCTCGACTGTCGCCGCTTCGACGTCGCGCCAATGCGAGTTTCAACAATGAGAAGTTCAGTGAAATAGCTGAAAGCACCTCATTGTCAGACCATCCTGTGACCGAAACAAACGAATTCGGCACCAGGACATTATGGAGCCAGAACGGTGACCGAAAATCTACTCACCCATGAATCTGTACATTTTCCCCTGTTTGAAGAACAAGACGGTGTTCTCTTTGATTTTGAACCTTTTCTTAAGATTTACGTTCTGGACATAATCCACAATGGCAACATTCGTAGCGTAGCCCATGAACGTCGCTTGTAAACCTTCGAACTTGGCTCTGAGAGCAGGAGTTTCGGCGGAAACGAAAGCGACGAGCCAGTCGCCTGTGGTTGCTCCGGTCGTAGCCTGGGTCAGATGTTCGAAAATCGTATCGTCGAGAATTTGCACACGCGCGTCACGCGCTTTGTGAACCCAGTAGAGCAGATCGCTGGGCAGAAGTTCCGGCGAGTTGTAGATCGCAGGAATGCCTTCACGGAAGAACATCACTCGCGGAATCCTCTCGATGCCGTATCGCTCTACGAGCTCGGCATTGTCACGTACGATTGTCAGCGAGCACTGATACATGTCCTCCATTTCCTTGAGGTTCTCCTGGAGAATTTTCTCGTAGCGCTCGCAAGACGGACAACCGCTCCTCTTCGAAATCACGACCATTGCATACGGCTGATTTCTGACGATTTCGTCAAACTCCTCGACCGACCCAGCATAAAGGGCCGACGCACTGGCCAGACAGCTGACCGAAACTAGAATAGTCAGGAAATGCATTTTCCAGATCACTTCCGAGCTGTTCCGGTCAACTCTGCCCGCCGTCGTATTCCACGTCAGGTGTCTGTTTTGACTGCGCAGCTGTGACAGAAGCTTCGCTCACCTAGGGAAGGGAACGGCGTCGCCGGAATCGCTCCCACACTTCGGGGTTCAGCAGCAGTGAGAGGGCGACTCCCCATATCTGGAGCACCTCGATCTCTTTGCAGGCGTAGGCTTTCGATAGAATTCCGTGCGCAACATGAGTCTGTTATTCATGGCCTCAGATCGCTCACGGCGAGACTCTAGGCTCCATAGGGCCCGGGATTTGTCCTCAATGTGCGTCTTTGCTGCAGAAATATTTTCTTTCTACACTCTCGCGGCAGCTGAAGCTCTGCGGGTGCATATCGCAAGCGGTACAGTCGACAGTTTCATGAGTCGGGTGTTCATGGACCGATATTTCGTTTCAAGCTTCTATGACGCGACGTAAGATTCTCCCTCCCCCAACAGAACGTGAGAGAGAGTCACCGGAGAGGAGGGATCCCACATGGTGCAAACTGTCACTTTGTAACTGATTTGCATAGATGAACGTGCTCTCCGTAGTAGAGGACACATATACATAGCTTAGGATTATCGTAGGAACGCTCCACATATTTCATCGGCGAATGATGTAGAGCGTCTGGAATCCTGTTCTACAAACCCTACTAGCCGAATGACACTTGTTGCCGCTCTGCAGCAAACGCGTTCCCCTGCGGATGTTTGCCTGACTATATTTCTCCGAGAGACCTTCTTCCTTAGCGAGATGACTCACCTGAAATAATCGGAAATCAAGTTACTTGAGAAACTCTGTTCGAGGCTACGGGATCGGGGCGCATCCCAACGGTTAAGGCTCTGATAAATTTTCCGAAAGAACGCCACGACGAGAGGGAAGCCATTTATTAGATCGAGAGAGTAACGAAGGGCGTCCTCTTAAATTTTTTCGTCCCGGTCAAAGAGTCGATCATTCCCGCTTTACTAGGTCTGGGCGCCTCCTTCTCCCCAGAGCCCTGCTTCGAAGAGACTCGGTCCTCGCTCGCAGTCAAAGAGAAGAATGCCTGGCTTGCTTAGTTTCACGCGTCTAATCTTTTCTCGAAGCCTTTCAGGGGGCGTCAGCATTTCCGCTGAGGAGTCGGCCGAACTGAGGTTTCCGGAGAGGAAGCACCACCTCACTGGCACAATCACAAGCGCTACAGTGAATCAGAGAGAGAGGCGCGAAAAGTTCCTCCGGTGTTCGCGCCCCGGCGCGAACGGAAACTCCGGCGAGCCACGTCACTCTAATTAAGTTGATTTTGACAAATACGGAACTCGGAAGGAATGAGCTCCGAGGTGTCGAGAACCACAAGCGATTCGTGTCCGGATCTCAAGAGCGACGCTCTCCTTTTCACTAACAAGGAATGTGTCAGAAGTGTCCCATCGCTTTTCGATCCAAATCATGCTTATTGTGCTCGTCTGAGTGCGGAATGAAAAAGTATAGTGCGGTTCCACTGCTTAGGCTCCAGTTCAGTTTTTACAGAATACCGATAGTCCCGGTTTTTGGCCGAAAAACCGTCCTTTTTCCTAATATGTCGGTGTCTTAACGCTTCCTGAGCCCCAAAATCATGACTTTTGTTGCGTCGGAATGATCCGTTCGCGATCGCGCCCCGAATTTCTCCCGGCGAACAATAATTCATTCGTCCGACCCTTAGGGCCACTTGAACACCAGCATATCCCAGCCGCCCCGGCGTATTTTGGGTGCTCCCGTCAGATTTTTACGGGATACGTTGAGGAATGGTCAAATCGTTGGGAATCACTCGAGAATAAGTTCCTTGTCAAATAGAGAGCTCAATATTCGCAGAAAGAGACAGCTCGTCATCGGCGCCAGCAATGTCGACGTAAACAGTCTCGACACTTGACGGATCGTGGGACCCCGTGGTACCTTATTGGTACGCAGAGGCGGATGAATATTTTTTCGATTGATTGGTGAAATTCAAAGCGCTATCGCGTGGCGCGCATTTTGAAACAACGAAAGTCTTGATTTGACGACATCCGCCGCGGTCATGCATCGGCAACATGCAAAAATGACATATTTTCGGCCGAAAACCGTGATTTTGGATTTTCTGTAAAAATGGAACCAGGGCCTAAGCAGCTGAAAGGCGCTATACTTTTTCATTCCGCACGGAGACAAACACGATAAGCACGGTCTTGATCGAAAAGCGATGGGACACTTCTGACACATTCCTTGTAAGTAAGTCGAAGCATCGGAGGCGCAGTGAATTCCTAAAGGTTCGCTGTCCGATTCGATCGCAGAGCTGCGAGCCCCACGAAAACCATTACAGCTCCGACGACATCGGAGGCGAAAATCTTTTGCTATAAAACGGCATTTCGAAAGAGTCGCCGAGCGGTTTATCAATTCCCCTACTCTCTACTCGGTTAGCACTCTCCGGTGAGAGGCTCGAGAGCTGGCCAATGCCCGAGTTGCACAAAGCCGGCTGGTACGGTCAGGGTTCGGGAATGAGGTGGGGTGGGGCTCGAGGTGAAACTCTCCCGGGGCACGGTAGCCGGAAAAGAGAGCCCGAAAAAGCGCCTCGCGCCTTTGATGCCTCCACCTTCCCTCCACGAAATGGTCCAAAGTGCGTTCAACTATAAATACAGATTATCGCCATCCAGTCGGAATGACCATTGGCCGCGGAACCGGCTCACCGTGCTCAAGCAAAATGAGCTTCGGAGTTTCTGATGGTTTCAGAGAGTGACTCCGAGAAGAAACGTTCGTGGGCCAAAAGAGGGCGCGAATCACGAAGACTGCGCGACAACATCCAAGGCTTGCACATTCATCTGATGACCGCGATAAATCCGTATACCGAGCTCGATGATGGTCGGCTCTTCTTCTCCTTTCACCCCGAACATGTTCTAGACTCCAGATCCTGCTGTGTTCACACACCATCACGGAAACCTAGGAACCTCATTCAAACTCATTTCGAGATGCTCGAGAAAAGCTGAAGCTTGCGTCTCTCTTCTTTGCTCTCTCATAATATCGCTCGGGAGGCATGGAGACGTGAAAATATGGGAATTCCGACGGAAGAATCATCCCCGGCTTCCGTGGAATTCACGTGGATTTTCTGTAGAATGTCCGTGAGATATGGCCGGTTGGAGAGGCCAAGGCTGTTCCCTCCCGCACGAGACAACCTCTAAGTCCATGCAGTCACGGCGGATCCTCATGAGTTTCCCCCCGCTCCGACCTGCCGGCCAGCCGACGGTCAAGTGAAGGAGCTCTTGTTTTCCTCTGGATGAATACCTTCACCAGACCTCTCAGCATGGGCGCCGCATGGGGCAATCAGGACAGCGGACGCTGGAGGAATTTCTCAAAGAAGCCATGGACGGGCCGGCGGCGGGCACGCAGCGCCAGCGGCACGCCGCCGGCGTGCTTTGCTCGCTTGTTCATTTGGTCAATAGAGCTTCCCAGGGATCCAGTGGAAACGACGAGAGCTACCAGGGTTAAGCGTTCCTCGGGGAGTCGTTCACGCTGCCGGATGGCGAATGGCTTTTCAATACCCGTCGACGCGGAACCTTTGAGATGAGTGCAAGAAAGATGACGCAGAGTAGTGCGCCGGAGCCGCCAAAAACGCCTCCGAGAAAAATGGCGTCCACGTCTATCTGGAATTCGCCCAAGGAAGCCGAAATCCCCTGTGATCGGTTCCCTTCCTTCGACGTCGAGGAACATCACATAAAAGCGTGCCTACAAAATAAACGCTCCCTCTAATTGGGTCATGCACTGAAACGCCCAGCTTGGAATTTCCCAACGTTGACTCGGGGAGGAAATGTGCGAAATCCATGGGGAGCTCCGATGAGCCCAATCGAGAGTTGGGAGCGAATATTCCCTCTCGTCGAAATATAAGACCGAGAATGCCCGAATTGAGATGTCAGCCCGAGCTCGAGGCATACGCGACTGGGATGACTTTCCTCGAACGCGATAGCTAATATTGTTCAAAATCGAGCCTTTGGCGTCGCTTTCAACACCTGGAATGCGACAGGCGTCTTTTTGCTCGCAAACCCACAGCTCGCGATGATCAGATTCTCCGCGTGTCAAAGAGAACTGTTTCGGTTGATATCCCATTCTTCCTCCGCGCCTCACCCTGCGCTCTCCCGATCCGCATGGAACGAAACGCCAAAATGCTTCCGGGAACAGCCAGTTGTGCACTTTGGTCTTCACCCCCTCTCAACAGAACTCGTGGCGACGAGGAAGAATGAGAGCTGCTCGCAGAGGATCGGGAGACTTCGGGTGATTCCGGGAGGACGAGGAAACGGAGCTCGACGGCGAGAAGCCTAGGCCAAAAATCGAAGAACCAAATGTTGTTAGCAAGAGGCAACGAGCTCGAACTTAGCCAGACAAATAGCCTGCGCTCGTTTTTTCCTCCATTCGGACGCGGGTTCTGTTGCGTCTAAATCTCCTCGCGGGCTTTCGTGCTGTTGCTCCAAATCCCAAGAAACTCGTGAAACCAGATAAAAGTCTGAGCACGGAGGCCATAGATCAACATCATCTCGACGATGGGATCATCATCACGGCGGCCATCACCGCGGCCCGCGACCACAGCGACTACAACTACCACCGCTATCATCATCACCATGAGCCGGGGGGGCTGTGCGGGAGCAAAGAGACTACGATCACGTGTAAGAATTCTTGAAGCATAGCCCAGCGCCGCATCATAGGCGTCGCTCCTCGGCGATTCCCTCCACATACCGAGGAGTCCCTCGGATCTCCAGTGGAATATGTAGTGGGAGCTAACTCATAAACCGGAAACTAGGATCCTCCGCGCGAGTTCGAGGGAACACCCGACCGACAAACAGAATGAACGGGGATTGGTGGCTGGCCTCGCTGCTGCTTGAAGCCCCTGTACGAGAGAGCCAGGAAGTGTTGGCCTTATTTCGGGTCTCGAGGGGCTCCCGGAATTAGTCGAGCTCGCTTCCCAAGAGTCCATCCCTCATCACACCCCACACTGAGTCGTTAGCGTTCCAGAGAAGACGAAGTAAACAAATGGTTGCTGCAACGCATCTCAAGTAGCTGTCC